GGGGCCAGCAGTTTACCACGCCCCTTGTCCAAGTTCCCTCTGGAAGGGTGGTCCTAGGGGCTGCCCTCCTCCTGAGCACCCATGGAGGCTCAGCCGGCCAGGACATCGGGCAGCCTCAGCTACCTCCATCCTCACCAAGCCTTGCTAGTGTGACCGGCTCCAGTGGCTGCTCCAGAGGGAAGAAGGCAACCCTCCTACCTTCTCTGGGACTGCCAAGCCAGAGGCCCCCTGAGCAGGTGCCATGGGCTCCCGGGCAGCGTTCACTGACACAGTACCGCAGAGGCCTCCCGCCCGGACCCAGGGCTAAGCTTCCTGATTCGGGGAGGGGAACTCGTGGGAGGTAAACTGGGCCTTCTAGGAGCTGACATGACTCCAGGTCGTGCATCAGGCCAGGGTCCAGGTCACTCACAAAGGACACTGGCCTGCAAGTCAGGACTTGAGTTCTAGGCTCAGGAACATGACCTGGGGCAGTGCCCGGGGGGACAGGGGCCTCTTGGCTGAATGCAGAGGCTGGGCAGGGACCTCAACATCAGAGACCTGCAGTATCCGTGTGGCAGGGGGTGGGCGCTGCCCGTCGCTGTGTACAGGAGCTGTCGCGCCACAGCCCAAGCCCAGCGCTGCCGTGGGGCCTGCAGCCCTGGAGTGTGGGGAGCAACTCGGACTAGACTAAGTTACTGGAATTAAGACTTATTCTATGCATCTGCTCTCCCACAATATGGCGCTGAGAAGGGAGAAACAGCTTCTACACAGCTGCCTCCAGTTCAACCAATAAGCAGCAGGACCTGCTCCTGATTGGAGGAGAGCAGCGTACTCGGCGTGTGGGTAGCAGTTGGGATTGGCGGAAGAGGACTATAAAGGAGGAGAGAGACAACATGCACCAGGAACATCTAAGGGGAACATCTATCTGAAGGAACACCTGTGCAGCCCCCGAGAGAGCCGGCCGGCGGTGTGCCACTCCCCCGCGGAAGTGGGGGAAGTGGCTGGGGGAACCGCCCTTCCACGGAGGTGGAAGGGTCGGTAGCCAACCCGGGAAGAACCAGCAGCAAACCCGGGGAGGGCCAAGCAGACAAAAGAACAGCGCAGGGTCCTGTGTCGTTCCTCCACGAAGACGGGGAGCGACACTGGAGCAAATGCAGCTCTCAATTTGCTAAGAGAAGGTGGAATTCTACGCTTCAATGTGAAATTTTCCCATATTGTTCATCTCTCATTATTTTTTAAAAGATTATTTATTTGAAAGTGTTAGAGAGAGATCTTCCATCCGCTGGTTCACTCTCCAGATGGCCACAATGATGGGGGGCTGGGCTGATTTGAAACTAGGAGCCAGGAGCTTCTTCCGGGTCTCCTACGTGGGTGGCAGGAGCCCACTCACTTGAGCCATCATCTGGGGTCTCACAGGGTGTGCATTAGCAGGAAGTCGGATTGGAGAGTGGAGCTGGGACTCAAACCCAGGTCCTTCCATAGGAGTCGTGCTGCCTTAACCTGGTGTCTTAACTGCTGGTCAAACACCCTCCCTGTTTCGGTTTTAAATGCTGGTAATTAACTGAACAGTTGTTAAAAGTCTGGAAGGCAGATCAAAGCTGACCTGAGGGTCAACTGAGCCTGAGGGCCTCCAGTCTGTGGTCTGGGGGTGCTGAGTGCCCCAGACTCCTGCGGGCCTCCAGTCTGTGGTCTGGGGGTGCTGAGTGCCCAGACTCCTGGGGGCCCGCCCTGTCTTCAGTGCGCTCAGAGCTGATCTTCACTGGATGCTGGCTTTGTGTGTGTCAGGTGCCAAAACAGACCTAGGAGACAGGCATTCTTTTTTTTTTTTTTCTTTTTGAGATTTATTTTAAAGGCTGAGTTACAGAGAAAGAGAGAGACACAGAGATCGTCCATCTGCTGGTTCACTCCCCTAATGGCTGCAATGGCTGGGGCTGGGCCAGGCCGAAGCCAGGAGCCAGGAGTTTCTTCCAGGTCTCACTGCTTTCCCAAGTAATTAGCAGAGAGCTGGGTCAGAAGTGGAGCAGCCAGGACTAGAACTGGCGCCCACAGGGGATGTTGGTGCTGCAGGCGGTGGCTTTGCCCACTGTGCCACAGCGCCAGCTCTTACAGCTCCTCCCTGTAGATGAGGAGACTGAGGTGTGTGGAAGTATGAGAATGTGTCCAAAGTCGCACACCCGAGACGGAGGAGCCCGATCGTGAACCTGGCATTCACCCTGCTCCAGGCCCTTTGCCTCCTGCTTTGCTTCCTCCAGGTACCAGCTCCCAAAGCACACTCCAGCACCAAACAGCCCAGAGCACCCAGCGGCGTTCTGGGACTGTGCACTTCCATCCAGGCCTGGGGTGCCCCCGCCCCCAGCAGCACACGTGGCTGCCGGGTTGAATCCCCTGCAGCTTGCGCTCTGGAAGAGACAGAGCTCGCGGGACCTGCAGAGCTGGTGTTTCCCTGCGGGGAGCACAGCTGGGCGGCGTGCCGCAGCCGCAGATGCTCCCGAGCAGGCCAGCCAGCCAGGCTCCAAGTGCCCCCGCAGCCAGGGAATTCTGGGCTAATGCTCAGTCCTGGCATGGGCCCCTCTCCCACTGACCCCTCCCGTCCAGGTCACCGTGACAGATGCTGGGAACATATGCAGTGAATTAATTCACTGCGGCGCAGCCACAGAGCATCGGCAGCCTCCTCTGTCTGCTCCCGCCACCCTTGCCTTCTGATTTCGACCTCGCCACCCCCCCTCAAAACACCCCCTTGGCTCTCCCTCCCTTGTCCCTGACACCCTTGCAGTGGGCTTTCTCGTCGGATCTGGAGCCCACCGCCAAAGGCACTTGGGACTCCCCGACCCCTATCCCAGATAGGATAAAGGGGCTGAGAAGCTTCCCTTCCCCATCTGTGTTTCCAAACAGATGCCGTCCCCATCACCTAGAAATGAGGAGCGCCGATGTCCCTCCCCAGTAGGGGCCAGCCAGAACGGCCCCGCCCTCCCAGCCTTCCCTCCCATCGCTCCTGCCGCAATGGGTTTCGGGGTGGAAACAGCAGGTGCCTCTGGGAGCCTATGAGAAGTGTGATTCCTTCCTCACCTTCATTCTGTCCTCTAAGGAGGGACTGGCAAATTTGGCGGAGGGCTGGGAGGGTATAGAAAGGTCCCATTTTATTAAAAAGAGTCTCACAAAGATGAAGATAGAATCTCACAAAGGAAGCAGGACAGCCTGCCAACCTCCAGCGGCAGAACTGGGGAAAGGCCGGGGGCAGGCAGCATGAGTCTCTGGGCTCACCTGAGGCTGGGGGGGGGGGGTGGGGTACGACAGCAGACCCAACCTACAACTGGCTACTGTTACCTCAGGAGCCAGAGACGAACAGGAAGTCCCTGAGGACCCAGAATGTTCCACAGGGGGCACCTTTCCGTATCCGCTAAGCAGACACCCGGGCACTGCAGGATGTGGTCTCGTGGCTACAGAAAGGCGTCCCTTCTACCCACACCTGGTACCCTTCCTGGTTTAAAATCAAGGACCCGGGAGGGACAGCTGGAAGGCACAGTGTTTACCCAGCTCGGCTATCCTGGCCTCGGGGGTATTTCTATGTTATGTATTTCCATGTAAGAGATAGGAAATCTAGAATCTGAGGGGCTGAGGAGGGACGTGGGAAAGCTGGCCAGGTCTGCTCGGGCCGACGCGGCCTCTCTGACCCCTCTGCTGGCTCCTCCTCCTCGGTTTTCTCCTCTCCTGGGACTTCCGTCTTCTCCTCGCCATCTTTCTCCTTTTCAGTTTCGGTCTCGACTCTCTAGGCTTTCTTGAGGTTGGAAGAGCTTGTGAGCCCGCCCCCTCCCTCATCATCGGAGGGGTTAAACTCCTCCTCACAGGCCTCTCGTCTGTCCGAGGAGCAGACAGAGTGGCGGAGAGCGCTTGTCAGGGTCCCCTTGGTCCTCATCACCGCTTTCCCCAGGAATGGCCGCGCTGGGAGCCCAGGCGCGTGGGGCAGTGTTCTCAGGATCTCCGACAGCCGCTGCTGGATCCTTCCCAGGTACTCGTTAGTCTCGGCGGAAGGACTGGCGTGAAGCTGGAAATCTGGCCCAAGTATTCGACGCAGTCCCCATCTGCAAGTTCACTAGGGACCTCTGCGTCCAGGGCCAACGCCATTTCGTACGTCCAGCACCGGGCCACACGTCAGATGGAGTGACCGCCTCCTCTAGCATCGGCACAGGCAGGCTGAAGGCCGTGACAAAGTCCACACTCTTGGCCGGCCCTCTGATGGTCAGGTCGGAGCAACCCAGCCGATCCGCAGACAGGCGCCTGAGCCACACTGCACCACCACCGCGCGAGGCTGGAGCAGCTCCGCTACTCTGCACGAGACCGGCTTGAAAACGGCCTCATGGGACTCGCGGTCAGTGCCATCTCGGAGCGGACAGTTATCAGAGTAATACCTGCCCTTGCCAGCCCCAGTATCCCGTAGGTGCCCAGTTCCTGGGGTGTGCTCTCCGTCCTCACGGCCCCATCTGTGGTATACTGGGCCGCGTCCATGCCGGCGCCGTGATGAGCATTGACGTCAAAACGCAGCACTTTCTGGCGACACTTCAGCAGGATAATCAAGACAATTTCACCGTCGGCACAGAAGCCGCGTGCCTCGGACTTCTCTGCAGGGTGCAGATGCCCCGCCCAATTCACAGCCCATCCGTCCATCAGTCTGCTGCTTATTAAGTCTCACAGCACTTGCTCCAGCGCCACCGGCCGTCAGACACTGCACGGTCCTCACCAAGGCTGGCTCGCTGCATCTGCTGGCCGCACCCGGACACGTTACCTGGACAAAAGGAGCGCAGGAACTTCCTCGGACGTCACGGCGGTGCTCGCTCAGCTCCTCAGCAGTGGCTCTGCGAGGGCGGCACATGTCCATCCCCCGGTAGAGACCGCAGGGGAGCAGCAAGTGCGGATGCGCTGAGGCGTCCTCGGATGGCCTTGTCCGTAGCAGTGACTTCCAACGTCCCCGTCGTAGTCATAACAGACGTTCCTCCCCGTGCCCTCAGTCTGCGCCAGCTCACTTGCCTTCTATCCCTCCTGTCGGTCAGTCGGTCCACTCTCCCACCCACAGCTCCACACAGCGAAAAATGTTTTTTAAAAGATTACTTATCTGACCGGCAGAGTGAGGGAGAGAGAGGGAGAGGTCTTCCATCCCCTGGTTCACTCCCCAAATGGCCACAATGGCTAGAGCTGGGCTACGCCAAAGCCAGGAGCCAGGAACTCCATCCAGGTCTCCCACATGGGTGGCAGGGACCCAACTGGGTCATCTCTACTGCTTTCCCAGAAGCACCAGCAGGGAGCTGGATCAGAAGTAGAGCAGATGGGACTCGAACCAGTGCTCTGATATGGGATGCTGGTGTCGCAGGTGGTGGCTTAGCCTGCTGTGCCACAACACTGGCCCCAGCCAACTTCTGTATGGGGGCAGATGGTGAATACCTTAGGCTTTGCTGGCCAGACGGTCTCTGTGGTGACTAAGTTCTGCCACTGCAGTGCACAGGCAGCCACAGACACAGTCATCCAACGGACAAGGCTGTGCTCCAGCAAAACCGTGGAAACAAACGGTGGCTGAACTGGGCCCACGGCTGTCGTTTGCCAAACCCTGCTCTAAGCACACCCAGCGCCCCTGCTGTCCCCTGGTGGACGTAGACAGCCCCCCGGCCACTCCACCGCCCTCTCAGCTGCACTTGGCCACGGATCACACGGTCTCCTCTCACGCCTCTGCTAGCTTGTGAGCTTCTTGGGGTCAAGGTCACGCCCTGTTTGACCTTAAACTCTTGGACTCTGCATGGAACCTCATGGAAATGCAAATACCCAGCCTGACCCCAAAGGGGCTTCCAGGTTAGTGGGGCACACAGACAGCCAAATAAGGTTCGCAAACCAGAGGTAAAACAACAGGAAGAAGGAAGGCAGCGAGAAAGTGGGAGGATGTGCCTCCTGCAAAGTCAGTAGCAACCTCTGGAAAAAGCAAAGGGGACGACAAAAATCGAGTAATTCATTAAGCTACCCTACAGCACTGGAAAACAACAAACAAAACCAATGCTCTGCGGAGTCTGGCGGCTCCTTAAAAGTTAAGCATAAACACACAGTAAGACTCTGCCAGTCTCAGGAAATTGACCTAGGAGAGGTGAACGCATCTGTCCAAACGGACAGCACAGAAGTCTGCAGCAGCCCCGAACTGGAAACAGCCCAGAGGTCCACCCGCCAGCTGGGGAAGAGGTAAGCAAGACATGGTGGCCACAGAGCCAGACAGTGCAGTGCCTGGCGGTAGGAAGACTGACTGGAAAATGGTAATAACACGCGGGGGCTGGGGCAGGGCTGGGGCTGGGGCGGGGCTGGGGCAGGGCTGGGGCTGGGGCAGGGCTGGGTGCAGCAGGTTCCGCTGCAGCTCTCCATGTTGGAATGCTGGTTCCGGTCCCAGCTCTGCCTCCCATCCAGCTCTCTGCTAATGTCCCTGGGAAGGCAGCGAGTGGTGGCTCAAGTACTTCAGCTCCTGCCACCCTTGTGGGAGGCCAGGACGGAGTTTCAGGCCCCTTGGCTTTGGCCTGACCCATTTGGGGAGTAAGCCAGCAGACGAAGATTCTCTCTCTCTCTGTTTTTCAAATAAACAACCCCAAAATAATCTTTACAAAAGAATGGTATAACGTGGATAAACCCTGAAAACACAGGAGTGCTTACGGCCAGACTGAAAAACCTTAACAAACGAGTTCATTTCCATAAAATGTGCAGAAACTGCAAACACATGCGGGCAGGAACCAGAGCAGTGGTCGCGGGGCAGGCAGCAGGGATCCCCCGCAGGGACCGTATTGGGCCGCTGCGCACTGCTCCCTAGGGTCTCTAACATCAGGGAATGCACACTTGAGTTCCACGGTCTGCAGATTCTGCCCCAATAAAATGTCCCACGTGAAACAAAACCTAGTGTCCAATCTTCTGGTTCACTCCCCAAATATCTACAACAGCCAGGCCAAAGCCGGAGCCCAGAGCTCCATCCAGGTCTCCATGTGGACGGCAGGGACCCAAGGATGTGGGCCATCATCTGCTGCCTTCCAGAACGTGCACTGGTAGGAAGCTGGATCCGAAGCAGAGGAGCCAGGATTAGAACTAGGCTCTCTGACACAGGAACAGCTGGTGCTGCCGGGGTGGTGGCTTGACCCCAGTGCCAACGCCTGTGGGGAAATTAGGCACACGAGGTAATTCAAAGATGGCGCTAAAAGGAAGTAAGGTGGCGGGATCCAATGTTGTTTACCACTGAAGCTAACTGGCCACGCAACATCAGGGGAAGTGACGACAACTGATGAAGAGTGTATAGACACATGGCTGGTCCTGTAAAAAATCGCCTGGTAAAATGACCTTTTAAGTGATTGGTTGGTCCTTATGCCCTGTCCCAATGACTCCGCAGTTTTGTGCTTTAAAAGGCTCTGTTACGCGCGAAATAAACGGCTCCCCGCTGTGTCTGATTGTCTCCGGGTTCCCGAGGCTGGGAAACGGGCGAGCGGCCCACTTACCTTTCCTTGGGCCCAGTCCATCTTCATACGGGTGGACTAAGACCCCACAAATGCCCAGCCCTGGCCCAGGCAGTTCTGCTTTGTCCATCTGCCCCTCCAGCTCTGCAGGGCCAAGAACAGAGCCCGGCACGTGGCAGGTGCAGGGACATTCCACAGAGGAATGAAGTACCCATCGGAGCCCAGCCTGTGAACAGCCATCTCTGCCGCCACCACCCAATGCCAGAGACCAGCCGGGACCGCCCAAGCCTGCAGAGCTGTGAGGCAACCTAGGAGGAACTGGTGAGGAACCGGTCAAGGACCACAGGAAGGAGGCAGTGGCACCGAGATTTCGCAGAAAAGCACACGGCTGGTGCCTGTGGCTGCCCATCTCGGTCCTGACCTCTTGGGCCATCTTAGGAGGCTCTGACTTCTGGGTGATGTCACTTGGGAAGGTTTCCTAGAGCCAGGTGAGAAGTAGGTAGACAAAGATTCTGGAACAATGTCTTATTCCCCAGGCACTCAAAGCTTGACAGGGCACAATCAGGGCGCAGGACAGGTGACAGGAGACTGGCACACGTGGTCCGAGCCTGACGGGTCCAGGCCTCGCTGGCTCAGCTTCAGGTCCACGGGGCCTCTCGTGCTCGGCCTTGGTCACAGACACCCTCTGCTCTGCCGTTACCCTGGAGTCAGGGGCGGACGCCTGGTCTAGGGTTGGGGGTGGGGCAGTTATGTCAGGAACTTCCCCAAGCCGAAGGCGGCAGAGGTGCAGACGAAAGCCCAGGTGGAGTCGGGAAAGCTGGTTCTGAACCCTGGCTCTGCTGCTCGGTAGCTGGATAATCATGGCCAACCTCTTAACTCCTCCAAGCCTCAGTTTACTCGTCTATAGAATGGGGGTGACCACAGCGTCTTCTTCCCTGGGTGGCTGCGAGCTAGACCATTCCTGCGTGCTGAGCTCAGTACTGTCTTCCAGAGAGAGCTCGGCAGGTGTCAGACCACGGTGCCGTTGTTGTTGTAAAATACAGAGCGGAAGGCAGGCACCCCCTAGCCACCTGCTCAGGCTGGCTGGAGACCTCCAAGGTTATCAGAATCCTGAGGCAGTTGAATTTGCCAGTAATTAAGGGGCTAGAAATACAGTCTTTCTCCTCTGGGTTTCAGGAGGATGGGGGCTCAAGGAAAACCAGCCCAAATGAGACTTCTCTGTGGCCACAGGAATTACTCTACAGAGGGGCTATCTGGGCTGCACGTGTGACTCTGGGAGAGGAGGGAACGGGACCCCAAAGCCGTGAAATCCCCCAGTTTATAATTAACAGACACGCACTCGCTCTGCCTGCCGCCTGGCTCACCGGGGAGGGGCACCGCAGTCACAGAAAAATAACCCCCCAGTGGGTTTTTGATGTGCGGAGACTCTTTGTTTTTCTGAATTTTAATGAAGTGCTTTCCAGTCAGGAGGAGAGAAGCACTCTGCGCTCCCCGTGGCCGTCCGTGGCCGAGGAGTGGCCTCCTTGAGCGGCCACAGGCCTGATGCAAAGGGAAAGGTCCCTGGCCTCGGACGAGCCGACTCAGGGAGAAAGAGAGAAAAACAAAAACAGAAGCCGTCTCTGCATGGGGAGAGGCGTGGGCTCCGCTCCTGCTCTCGGTGCAATCTGGGGGCCGGTGGTGATGGTGCCTGGGGGAGCAGTGGCAGCTGCATGGCTGCAAGGCTGAGCTCCTGAGAACCCGTGAGGACAGGAGGCCACACCCCCCGAGGGAAGGCCTCTGGGGAAGTCTCTGCAGCTGCCCCGCTTCCCACAGAGCCAGCAACAAGGCCCTGGACGCTGCGGCAGGAGGGCGCCAGGGCATGGGTGCAGGCAGAGGTGGGGAAGGGCCGGCTCTGATGAGGCTTCACGGCACACACTTCTTGAAACGGGAAGAAGGCGGCAGCACGGCGAGGGTCATGGTCAGAAAGGCAACTTCCAGGCCCTCCCAGGACCCCCGCAGGCAGCTGTGGGCAGCTGCAGCCTCTCTCCGCCCTCCTCCAGGTGCTGGGGCCTCCTGAGCCATGCACACTGCCAGCAGGTGCACCTGTTCTCCCCTCCTGGATCTACTTTCCCCCGATGCTGGGGCAGCAACATGTCGTGCTCAGAGCTGCCATCAAACTGCTCCCAAGTCGCACCCTCCCAAGAGGATGCTGCAAAGGATCAGAGGATGCTGCCACAGAACAGCCATTTATTGCAACTGAGAGATCCAGTGGGGTCTACTGAAAATAAATATTTTTGTTACAAAATATTCCATATAAAAACCCTAAGCTGCTTGCAAGCTCCTTTAGTTTTTCAGCGTACTGCATTTTGGTTATTTTGTTTCAAATCCAAAGCAGAGGCCTGGGTCAGGTGAGCCTGGCCCCGCCCGCAGGCTCCTCCTTCTCCACCTGCAGCAGCTCCCACTCGGTAAGGAGCTCCGAGGACACCTCGGTGTACAGGTGGTCCCAGTCCCAGCCGACGTCATCCTGCCAACAGGGTGTCCCCGAGTAAGGCCAGGCCAACCTTTTCCCCACGCTGTGGCCAGCGTCCACCCTGATCCGCGCGCGTGGGCAGGCCCGGGGCAGCCTGGGAGGCAGCGGCTCTGGGCTGGGAGGGAAGGAGCCGCGGCGGCTACCGTACCTCGCGGACCTCGTGCTCGGGCGAGAGCACTTTGCTGAGGAGCTTCAGGTCGATCTCGCCGTCCTGCGAACGTGAGGGCAGTGAGGAGCCGGGCTGGGCCGCGGGGGCTGGGCCAGCCAGGCAGAGCCAGCTTGTGTGGCAGCCCCTTCCCCGCCCCTAACACACGGAGAGCGGCAGGAATGCCTTCCTAACAGAGTCAGAACCCCAGGGGGCCACGCGGCCGCTGGGGAATGGGCGGGGCTGTGCCATCAGCTGCCACGTGGCTGGCCACGGTCTCAGCCACGGCAGCAACTCAGATGCAGATGGTCAGGGATGCTGGGTGACACCCGTGGACGGGGCCTCCTGCACGGGTTCTGCTGCCAGGCAGCCCCTGGGGTCCCTGGTGGGTGCTGCTGGGACCCCACCCCTCCAGGTGAGCCCACTCACCAAGTTCTGGAAGGCCGAGTACTTCATGAGGTCATTGTCCAGGTCGCGGTAGGTCATCACCCGGTTTACCTGGATGCTGAAGGAAAGACAGAGTGTGAGGAGGCCCTGGAGGCCAGACCGGCTCGGACTGGACCGGTCCCAGGGCCTGGTAGGCAGCCAGAGACGACCAGAGCAGGAACAAAACACTGGGACACGGCAGGAGCCCTGGCATGGCCGATGCCCATCACAGGGCGGCGGGGGCAGGGGCAGCCCAGGGAGGGGACTGAGTCACACATTTCCCATTTCTTGTCAACTTCGTACCCGCTCTGACGTACCTGGGAGGAGCTGCCACCTGCAGAACAAAGTCTTCTTCCTGGACTTCTTCCAGATCTGGGATAACCGGGGTGTCTGCAATGAGAGTGGTGTTGATGCGTGTGCGGCGTGCATGGGGCTCGGGCCGCCTCTTCCTTCTGCTACGCCCACCAACATCTGGCCCAGTCGGCTGGAGGCGGGGGTGCACTGGGCCCTGGGACACAGTCTCAGGCCTCCAGGGGTTCTCAGCCCAGGGCTGTGGTTCTGAACCGGGGTGTGCAGAACTGAGGGTGGGACTTCCATGACTGCTGGAGCCCAGGCCTGACCCCAGGGTGGGGCTCAGCGATCTGCATCTGTATTTCTCCCTAAGATCTTATTTTTATTTTTACTTTTCATTTTATCTGAAAGGCAGATAGGGCCAGCACTGTGGCGTATTAGGCTAAGCCTCTGCCTGCAGAGCTGGCATCCCATGTGGGTGCCAGTTCCTGTCCCAACTGCTCTTTTCCCAATCCAACTCCCTGCTAATGGCCTGGGAAAGCAGCAGAAAATGGGCAAGTCCTTGGGCCCCTGCACCCACATGGGAGACCTGAAAGAAGCTCCTGGCTCCTGGCTTCCGATCAGCTCAGCTCTAGCCATTGTGGCCATTTGGGGAATGAACCAGCGGATGAAAGATCTCTCTCTCTCTCTGTCTCTCCTTCTCTCTGTTTGTAACTCTGCCTCTCAAATAAATAAATCTTTAAAAAAAAATGACAGGCAGAGAGAGAGAGAGAGAGAGACAGAGAAATCTTCCATCTTCTGGTTCATGTCCCAAATGCCTGTAACAGCCAGGACTGGGCCAGGTCAAAGTCAGGAGGACAAAACCCACGTCTCCTATGTGGGTGGCAGGGACCCAAGTACTTAAGCCATCACCACTGCCTCCCAGGGTGCACACTGACAGGAAGCTGGAATCAAGAGCAGGGCTGGGACTTGAACCAGGTGCTCCAACATGGGACGTGGGCTTCCTAAGCAGAGTGTCCTAACCAATATGCCAAACACCTGTCCCAATTTCCCTAAGACTTCTTGGGTGATGCGTCAAGTTAGGAGCTCTTGGAGTGGATCAATGTAAAGAAACGAGAAGAGAGCCCAGGCAGCACTTGGGGAGGGGCTTGTGATGCTCAAGCCAGAGCCAGGGGGTCCGAGGACGCCCAGTGTCACCGAGTGAGCGTCGCCACGAGTGCCACTTGCTCACGGAGCGGAGCTACGGCTGCCAGTGCCCTCTGCTAGCACGTCTAGGTCATTCTCCACCTGACACCATAACCTGGCTCCCCGGCCTCGCAGCGCGGCCAGGGTCCGCACTTGCCAGGCCTAATAAGGGGCGTAAGTAACGCCAGTGCCGAAGACGCCCCTCCTCCTGCCGGCTCTCTGAGGCTCTCCTTCCCTGCGCTCCTCAGACAGGGTTACAGACACCGGAGAAGGCAGCGGGCCGTTTCTTTCATCAGCCTGACAAAACCAGGAAATCTCACACCACCGAGCTGTGGCTCCCGGCTGAAGGTCCCCAAATTGTGCCTCTCCTCGTGGGGACAATCTAACACCTGGAGAAACACTTTGTTCTCCAAACTGGTATCACTGGCGGGGGGGGGGGGGGTTGTTTTAAGCCAAAGTTTAAAGAAAAAAGAGCGAGTGAGTGAGAGAGAGAGAGAGAGGGAGGGAGGGAGGGAGGGAGAGCGAGAGAGATGGGGCAGGGGAAGAGGCCAAGTGGGGCCAGGCCATCCTGGAATCCCCAAGTCAGCTGCACTCACAGAAAGAAGGGAAAATCCGGGAGGAAACCCCCTCCCCCCCCCCCCCCCCCCGCTTCCACTGAACTCAGTTCCGCTTCTAGAAGAAGCACCGAGCGGCTCCCAGAACGGCCAGGCAGCCCCTCGCCGCTCCCAGGCCGCGCACTGCTCTCGCCCAGCCAGGCTGGCACTCATCACGGTCAGCCCCACGCTGGGAGCTGCAGATCTCTGCGACCACTGCCGACCACAGAGCCGCAGATGCACCTGGAAAACGAGACACAGAGACAGCAGAAAACAGAGAGAGAGGGAAGAAGAACGTGGCCGAGAGGGGACATACAGAGAGACACCCCCAGCACCCCGGAACGCTGAGCCCACCTGACAGGTTCCCGCCTCTATGAAGGCACTGCCTGCGAGGGGCTCAGACTACATTCCTCCACCCCTGCTGCAGAGCTGGAGGTGGGATTTGCAAAGATTCTGTCTCCCACGTAACACAAAGTTAGCTGGCTTTGTCACTCCTGCTCGACTGGCTGATAGAGTCCTTTGTGCGGGCTGCTGACAACACCGTGCCCTGAGCCCAGGGCCAGCCAGGCTCCCAGGCCCTGCAGAGGGACGGGGGTGGGGGTGGGGGGCTGGCTGTGCCACACGCCATCGGCACGGTGACAGTTGCGGAGCCAGCCAGTGAGCTGCTCCCGGCTTTTCTCAGTGTGGAGTGCAGCCTGAGATGAATATTCAGAAGTTGCTAAGGAAATGCCCCATGCTGAGTTCCGGGCTCAGGACGGGGGTCCTTGCAAACTCCCCTTTCCCTCCACAACTTTAGCATTTGGGTCCTGTCAACCCTGCCCAGCCTCTCCCTGCACTTCTGCCCGACGGCCCCTCTCGCCCCCACGGGCTTCCTTCTCGGTCCCTGTGCCCCTCCTCCAAATGTGCACAAAAGAGTGCGGGGCAGGCCCATCTGTGACAGATCAGAGGTCAGCTCGGGCCCTGGCAAAGGGGCTGCTCAGAGCGGCACTGGTGGGGCTGGCCACACAGTGGGACTTCTCTCTAATTGGAAGCCTGGTGGCCGGCAGGACCCGGTGAACCGCCTGAGTGGGACGGCGCCAGCGATGACAGCCAGGCCAAGGCAAGCTGGAACGTGGCGGTGCGGTGACAGCTTGCGCCATCGCAGCAGAGGCAGCCCGTCCAACTCCCGGCTCGCACTGGAACAGGTGGCCGGGGAGCCGGATTGGGGCAAACTTCAAAGAACTTCACGATTCCAGTTTCTGACGCACAGTCACAGACAAGGGCTTGCTTGTGTGGACAGAGTAGGTTTTGGGGAATTTTTTCTGCTTTTCTTTTTCTCCTGGCCTCCTCCCCATCCTCTCCCTTTCACATATACCACAGGAGTAAGGCTAGGAAAAAGAAAACGGGCCTGAGAAAGCCGCCTCCTCCCCCGGGACCTACAGGCAGCCCCGCGGTGTGTGATGCGGACTGGGGGCCGGTCTGATGGCTACCGCGCAAGGCTCAGGACAGGGAAGAGGGATCCGGGGTCAGCTCCGGTCCGGCTGGAAAGCTTCCACCATCTTCGAAAATCCGACCGCGAGGTTCGCTTGCCTCCCCTCGCCCTCCTCTGCGATCACTCAGAAAATCGCTAAGGACAGCAGGGTGAGGCAGCTCAGCCGGCGTCGCGCCCAGGCTCTGCCATACCCCCCGTGTGACTGATCCTCTCCGTGCCTCGGCCTCTCCATCTGTGAGATGGGGCACGTGATCACGGCTGCTTGAAGCACACAATGCAATCATCCACACGAAACAAAGCGCGAGCCCTGTGCCCCGGTGCACAGAAAATACTCGTGAACTCTTCTCATTTGCTTCACCGAGACTGCAATACGAGCAGAGAGAGGAATGGCGGGGCTCTCACCTTCACTCTCCCATTCGGTCCTGCCCAGGGATCAGCATTGCTCAGAGGCAACATGGGAGCTAAGCGAGGGCAAGCAGGTGTTGCCAGGTGAAACCCATCGAAGATGGCCAGAGCTCGGCCTCCAACTCCACCCAGCGTGGCTGCAGCCCTGTGCCCCTCCCCCCTCCCCCCACGCTGCCTTCCCAACGTGACCGCCTTTAAGGATGATCCTCGACATAACCGCCTCCCTGTGGGACACCTGCTACTCTGTCTGTGACTGTGTTCTCTGGGGCCCGTCCCCCACCGTTTGTTCCCTGCCTTCCTAAAGGGCACAGTGCAGGCCCATCCAAGCACCCCAGAAACGCTATCCCACCCCAAGGAGAAGGAGGTGGCTGGGCCCCCTGGATAGCCCCGTAAGAGGGGAAGGTGCAGGCAGCACAGCAGTGAGCTGCCAGTGTCCTGGGCACCGGTGTCCTCACTTCTGCCCCCCCCCATCCTCCGTGCCAACTGTCTCGCAGGCTCCGCAAGCTGGGCCCTGGCAGCCACGCCTGGAGGGTGAAGGGGGCTCCACGTGTCTGCTAGTTCGCTCATTCCTTCACTCACCCATCCAAGGACGCCTGACTGAGCTCCTTCTGAGACAAAGACGCCGTGGCAGGTGATGCAAACCCCAGCGACAAACCAAACACACGTGGCCCAAATCGCCACGGTGCATCAGGCTGCTGGGGACTTGCACGCAAATCACCAGGCTGCTTCCCAGTGAGAGCATGCACCGGAAAGCAGATGAACCCGACTCCGTGGCGGAACACAACAGGGAGACCCGACTGCTTCACCCTCCGGGAGCAAAAGGGACAGCAAGTGTGGGAACAAATGCATATGCTACAGAGGACGGTAAAATGAGAGCCAGGCCTACCATGTGTGAGACCTAGTCGTCTCCCTAGAGGTGATCATGGCTGGCGATGTCTTATGGATGGAGTGGAAAGAACTGACCTGGAGTGTGCATGGCACACGTGGTGTGGGAAGACACCTGCACACGGCATCGCTCTCAGGTGCACCTTGGTCCACAGCTCATTCTAAGTCAGCACCCAGTGCTCTAAGGCACGGGTGTCCCACCAAGCACTTAATCCAGCCCAGAGAGGACCCCACTCAGAGTGTAGGGCACAGGGTAAGGCACTGGGGCGGGGCACAGAACAGCTGCGAGGCGCAGACGGGGCAGGATTTGGCCAGGTGGGCGACAGCAAAGACACCTGGAGGTGAGAAGTCACTTGCCATGCCACAGCAGGCCAGTGTGCCTGGGGTGCAGAGCCCAGGGAGTGCCCAGTGCTGGGCGAGGACGGGCCTGCATGAATCAGCCGTCTGCTCTACGCCAGGCCCCTTCAGGGGAAATCCAAGACAGACGGAGCAAGGCACCATGGCAGAGGGAAACTCCGGACACAGGAAGTAGCAATAAATCAGGAGGCGATGGCCCACGC